ATATTACCACTCCTCCAATAAGCCAATTCTTCTGTTGGCATTTTTTCCAGTCCTAAAATATTTCATTTGTTCTTGCTGGCCTTATTTATGGTCATTATCCATATGGTCATTATCCTTTTCTCCTTATTGTCTTTCAGCCTTTCCCAATACACATACTGCTCATTTATAGCTCTTTATACCTCTCCTCTGAATAAAAAGGTTTTAAAGCAACATGTTCTCAGTCAGTCCTGCCTCTAGAGCAACCAAGTAAAATTTCCTTACCTTATTATTTTGACTAAATCTTCCCCAAAGAAACAGATTAGGGCAAAGATTTAAAATTTGCCCTTTCTATTGTATCCCCAGGAGACTAGAGTCCCATTCTGATCAGCCCTTCCTTTCTGAGCTGCTGCTATCTTTATTTTTTCCCTTTTTTGAGCCTTCCTTCCCCATACTGCCTCCCTTTTTTTTTTTTTTTTTTTTTTTTGAAATAGGAGGTCTAGACAGTATAGAAAATACAAGATGGAGACAATTAGTTTAAGCAAACTGTATTCTGTTCCACACTCTAATCTTTTCCTAATAATTCATAACATAGATTTGCTTTCTTGAGTGATGAGCTTTGAGATTATGTTTCTTATGGAAATACTTATAATATGGAAACACTGAGCTATACATAATAATTCTGAAATCTACATAACAATAACACGGAAACATTGAGATTATAAGATTTCACTTTTGTATAATTCAGCTCAAAGCTCAATTTCATTTATGAAGCTAAGACTGTTCACTTACATGCCTCACCATGTTTAAGTATGCCTCATTTCCCTTGCTGTTTTTGTTAATATTTTCACTTTTTTTCCCTCTTTTTTTCCTCCTCTGTTTTGTAAGTTGCTTTGATAATTTACCACAGTAACTTTCTCTTTAGTTTTCTAATCAGTTTATTTTGATAGTAATCTCACTACCCACCTTTTCCCCTCGGTCACCAAAAAATAAGTTGGACAGTGTTTTATGGGCACAGGTTTATTACATACAGACAAATCACTGCCATTTCTGCCTATGCTATGATTAGCAATAGCTTTGGTTTAGGAACCAGCCCTGTAGGGCAGCATCTCAGCCATGGCACTTGGGCACAGCGGCAAGAATCGGTTGTTCCCAAAGTCACTGCAAGACCCAGTTGTACATTAGCTCCGTTGTATATTAGTCCCTGATGCTACGCTTTGGTTACAGCCAGGTGGTCTAAGAGTACAGGCCAAAAAACCACAAAAAAAACAAAACAAAAATCCAAGCACATGTTCTGGCAACACTCTGTCTGTACAGATAATGACAGCAATCTGTCTGCCAAAGTCTGCTGAGAGTTAAAAAAAATCCAGCTGAAATATTGTTCACAATAAACAAACAAATAAATAAATGCACCCTCATTTTCCTTCTTCCCTAAATTATAAATAGGAACAACCCTACCTCTCACCCAGAAATTCAAGAAACTGATGTTATCTAGTTTGAAAGCACCAGAGTTCATCAGATCCGACCCTGACTCACAGGCAGTGAGTCCAAGAACGACCATTCCCCAAGTCCCTAGAAATGTGTCTGTACAGAAGAAATACATCTCCTTGTAAATCTGCCCATGCCCCTTCCCGCCCCAAAGGACTGTGGTGCACAGGACAGCAGTGGGATCCCAGTCACACACAATTCGCTTTTGAAGAAAACCTTTTTCTCTCTGACATACCTTCATTTTTGCTGTTCTACCTCCCCAATCCATGTACTCCCGACTACAGTAATGTCAGATGGATCCCACTCTTCACACTGCTGTACTGCCCATGCTCCTTCATTACGACAAGGATAATTTAGTACTTAAAGCAAATTTATATTAACCAAAATATTTATCTTTGGTACATACCTGATGCACATTCTCTTCTTACTTCTACTTACTTACTCTTCATAGGTTGCCAAAGATGTTATTTTTGGTCTCTCCACCCACTCAAAGAACTTACAAAACTTACAGTTCTTTACCAAAATGCATCACAACCAAGTTTCCTTTTCCTATTTTTTTTAGGTCACAGAATTCAGAACATTATTTAATAGAGTAAGATTGAGATCTAGAAGCATAACATCGCCTCAATATTTCTTAATATAACTTACCATTAATATAACATAATAAAGAGGTGTTTAAAGGCTATTAATCTCATTCTGTATGACAATTTATGTATCCACAACACCACTGGTACTCCAACTTTCTTACAGATCCATTTTCAGCATTTCAATAACATTTCACATTTCCTTTCAGCAGCTTATGCCTCAGAAATATAACCCCATATATATATAATTACTATTTGTAAAGTAGGAAAGATTTCAGGGAGCACTCCACAGTCCAAAGATTAAGATACTTGTTCAATTCTAATCAGCTACTTAAAACAGTTTTTCCTCCTTCCCCTCCTCAAGGATTCCTTCCTGCACATGAAGGATGACCTTACAGAAAATTTTAGTTGCAAGGAAATGTTGAGTAAGAAAGCCACGTTTTGAAGAACTTTTGAAGAACATGTCCAGAAGAAAACCTTAAACGGCTTTAAAGTTTAGACCACATACTCAAAGATCACGGAAAGATTTAATTACCTCTCAATTAGCACAAGCTGATGGTAGAGAACATACCAAAGCATGCTGGCAATGTAGACATCAGAGAACCAAATATTCCTATTGTTATTAGAGTATGTTTCATTTTACGCCATGCTTGTCACAGTACTACAGAAAACGTGGCAGATGAGAGTGCAAAATAGAGACACTGCTGACTTTGAGGTTCCTGCCACAAATGCAACTACCAGAGCATGTTTAGATCCCATATGACTGAAAGAGGCTTTAAGAAGGTGTACTTGCATAACATACCATAGTCAAATATGGTAATGCTCTGTGCTCTTGTGAGTAAATAGAACTCAGCTTATAGATTCTTTTATATATATATATATATAATATTAGTATATTTTAGTTATTTTTATTAGTTTATATATTTATTAGTTGATAGAGAACTATTAAATGATATGGGGAAAAGGATCATTGGCCTATAGATGTTTTGGAAGATAAATATATTATGATTTTCACCAAAGCCTTAACAAAGAAGCAGTTATTAAAATCAAAAATAGTTTTCTATTTTTTTTTTTTTTAGGTAAAAACAGGACAGTTGTAAAGACTAATGACATACACACGTAGAGTACTTCCTATTTACATCACGACTGAGTATAAATTACAGGTTTCACTTTGGTAAGTGGAGTAAGACTCTGGTCCCAGTCTGGCATGAATGATCTGTGAAAAACAGAAGAATGACTGACAGTATCTCAGCTTGAAAGTCTCACTCCATATCACTTTCCAGTCTGAATTTGCTCACTGACTACTGCAATGCTGCTTATGTGAACTTGCAAGTGCTAGGAACAGATGTGTTCATACATCTATTTTCACATATCTTCGCTTGTAACCACCACCACAAGAGCTTCTGCTCTCCTCACCTCTTCCTGTAGATCAAGGAAGGTGGTGGTGCGGCCCAAAGTCCTTTTCAGCAGACATCCAGATAATGAGCGACCACAGGTTAAGTATATGGTATAAGGACAAGAAACAGTTAAGAGCTTAGTAACCAAGTCTAGTGTTTTCCTATAAAGATCACCAAACAATGAAACGGAGAAACCATCACTGCTTCACTGTTGTCAATAGCTCCACAAGTAGCTTCAGGAGAATATCCAAGAGCATTCCAGATCCAAGACCCCACGAGTGGGGTGGAATTTGTCAGGTGTTCAACAGATACAGCACCAATGTAAATATTGTTAATTTATTACGAGCAGCAGTGATCCAAGCAGGTGTATTATTTGTAAGAAAATTAAAGGACCAAAGAAAATGACACACGTGACTTTTTCCCCCGGCCTCAATGCAGAGACGGTAAGAGAACATGGTAAGAGAACAGTGTCAGCCAAGATGCTCTGAGCAAACAACTTTGTGTGTAAAGATACTTGAACCTGCAAATTCAAGTAATTACTGTGTACTATTGAATCTGCAAGTTCAAGTAATTACTCTGTACTATGATCATAACAGTCACCAGTATGATCTAGCATGAGTCAGTCCCCGGTTTATAGAAAAGTGCTCAGTAACCTAAACGGAACTTACAACGCATGACTCTCAGACTACTCCTATATTATTTCAAAGAACAAACTGACGGCCAGTCAGATGATCACTGAAAGCAGCAGAAATGGAAAGAAGGAAGAGATAGGAGAGAGAGCTCAACCTCTCACAGAGAGTGGAATGGATGGAGAAAAAAATAAATCAAAATAAAATCAAAAAAAGAGAAGGGATGTACATGTAAGTGAGCAATTGCAGCAACAGCCCCAGGACACACAGTTTCTACAGATAGTTCACATCTTGCTTTAAGTCTGATTATATTAGTTCAACTTCACCTATACATTCACATAAGAAAATTAACTAGATATAAGAATACCTAAATTGTTTCAGTTTGATACAACTAAATCAGTTCAACTTAATATATACTGTTTGCCCTGTTCAACTTCAGCCAAGCAGTAATGATTGCAAGGTTCCATCACTAGTGTTTAAAAAAACTGACAAGATTAAAACTCCTTCTGGAGCAGACTAACATCAAGAACCTCCTTCACACACACGTCCTGGCTGAGAGTCATGCTTATATTAATGTCCTTCAACCAGCCTTTGTCAGTCTTGGTGGTGTGACACACAAGTGGATGGCTCTAGTTGCTGGGCTATAGGAAGGGTAGTTAATTCAGGGATGGTAGTTTTGTTCCTGGGAAACAGCCCACAAGTACTGCAGTGTTGAGCATCATGTCATCTTTGCTTCCATTTCTGAATCTAGCTATAAATACCAAGCAACTAACAAATTTACACTGCAGAACAAGTCAAAAGACAAGCACCTAGTATGAGCATCCCCAGTAAACATTCATGCCTAACTCAACACTGAAAAGAATACAAATCCACCCTACTGTAAATCAAAATAATGTTACAGTTAAACATGTTAATAACCTTTGGGGTTTTAAATATATTGTTTATTTATAGTTAAACATAATCTCTGCAGAAATCTACACACATGCAGGGATGATCTTTCAGTGATGCTTCTGTTTAAATTGAAGTCCACAGTAGCCACATGTTCCGGTTTTTGTATCTTTATCCTGAAGTGAAAAAAAAAAAAAAATACAAGAATTACTGTTTTCATTTTACACAGAATACAGCTTTTAAAAATTACAGAATTTATTTACATGTACCATCTTAAAAAAGCTCAATATAACTGAAGTGCAGAGCAGAATATTACTTGAAACATAGAAAGTAAAAAATGGCAGTAGGATGTTCATTCTTGATTTCCCTACCATATGCAGTTTCCTTGCTTACTTCTGTCACACTTTAACATGATTTCAAAGTTGTTCCAAATGATTTCTTTCCAGTTGTAAAGGACCCCACACTAGACATCTTAGGTCAGCTCAGTCACATCTGTTTCAATGTTCTGAAAGGATTGCTTCATAATTATTTTAATACAAAACAGGACTTGGCATTTTCCAGGTTATATCCGGACAGGACTTTTAGCCAGTAACATAACTGACCATTCTAGGAAAGAGGAAAATTCAAGAGGATTCTGAGAGAAAATCCCAAAGAAAAGATTTGGAGAATAGTAGCAGACACTACAGTACAGAATTGTTTCTTCCTGATAAAGGGTAAGAATTTTGTTGCTGTTGTATTTTTAATTTAGAAGTATGCCTGATCAGGCTGTTGTAGTTCTGCCTAGCTTTTTTGTCTTTTTGACATATTAAGACAGACACTATGAGATCTTCTATGATTTAGCAACATGATTCTCGGTCATGAAATTAAGTGAACTTACACTTTCCGTTTCTTAAAACAAGATTAGAATCGACATACCAAAACTACCTCCTCATCCAATTCTAGATATAAATCATTAGGACTAGCAGAAATGACCTAGTACTATTTTCCATGTTTGCAGACATTAGGATTGAAAAACCTTACCAAGAGGTAACCAAAACCCTACCATTTCAAATGTATCCTCAGTTTACACAGTGACATTTAGATAATGAAAGTAAGCATCTCAAAACACAGCAAGCATGTTCTTGTTACTTACGAGGCACTGTTTGTCCTAACATATTGCTTCTTAGTTCACTTCCTTTTCCCTAAAAATCTGACTGGCCTATCAAACAAAACCAAATCAAGTGCAAAAATATCCTGCTAACTTCAATGGAAACCATCTAATTTTTCTGGGTAGAAATCTTAATATTGTATCATGTATCAGATAAAGTATTTCAGGTGGTTACACATTTTACTTCATTAAACTAACATATCACAAAGTAGAATATCTTACAAATGAAAATTAAGATGGCAAACATTCTATACAAAGAGCAAAGACATTACCAAGTTTATGTATACTTTAGGATGTCCCAAAGCTCCACCACCACCGTCGCATGATATCACTCGGCTTTCAACTTCACTCACAGGCTGCTCTGCTATTAAGTCAATTGCAAAATTCCTGTTCACCTGTTAAGAGGGGATTAAAAAAAAGAAAAAAGAAGCTCTTGAGATACCTTCTGTTGGAGCAGCAAAGGTAATTGCTGTTTACTGCCTTCCCAAGCTGCATATGTTTCTTTCCTTCTCCTCTGCAGCTGTAATAGCTCTTAGGACTATGCTATAAACAAGGTCAGTGAAACCACAGTGTTTAACTCTGCAAAAATATTCCCCCTGGCCTGAAACATGGGTCACATTCGTGATCAGGTTTACAATGCAACCTAAGCAGTTTCAGCAAGGAGGTGAGCAGAAATGAGAAACCAAGAACAGAAGATAATTTAACTATCATTGCCTCTGTATTGTACCTTAATGACTAGGTGATGAAATTGCAAAAGACTCCCTGCTGATAAAACTCAAAATAATAGTGGGACAAGTAAGGTCAGATAAATTAGAGCCTCTCCTCATGCACATAATTCCATCACCACACATGAATTATCAACTTGGCACATAACAGTTCAAAAACGCAAATTGTTCAAAGTTACAAAGAAAAGAAAACAAACCCATAAATATTATTATGCCTGTCTATAAATCCGTACCACACACACTTCCTGGGACTTTTTACTAAAACTTGTAGCAAACACAGCCGTTTGTGGATGGTTCTAGATCTGTTCGAGCATAACTTGAGCCTCATAACTCATAAGTTGAGTTTCCTAAGCAGGAAACTACTAAATCGGCCACAGTGTTTTTCCTCATTCACTTATGTAAAATTCTTCCAAATAGCTCAGAATCAGCACTGAGCAATCACCTCTACACCACCCACACCTCACTATACAAAATACTCCAGGAGGGGCCAGCTAATTTCAAAGGCAGTTTAATACACATGCAAACAAAGTATTAAACGAACCCAAAGGAGGCACTATCTGCTGCTCTGTGCATAAGGCTCACTGGTATTTGACTGAAGACTAGACTCTCAGAAAAAAGCATAAGTTAATTAAGTGTCCCTTACATGAATCCCTAAGGACTATTGTGGTGATTTTACATAGTTCTAGAGCACAATAACTTCAGATTCTTTCTTCAAATCTCCACAATTTTGCTACAGCACTGGAAGTGTTAAGTTTTGTTAATATAAATATTTTCCTTAATTTGACAGAAAAAGTTAATGTTTTATTAACTTTCATTTTTGAAGCAAACAGACAACATGAAGAACCTTGTGATTTAGAGCTTATGGATACAAGGCATATGCAACTTTAGTCCATTTGTAAGGATTTTTACTACATTTTTCTTAATTGTCAACCTTTTGCTCAAGAAAGGAGTTAACACCTTGGTGCACCTTTGTTTCAAAATTAGGAATAGAGCTCTACTCTTTCAAATGCAGTCTTATTTCTTAATCCCACAAACATCTGTGGGGAGAAGAGCAAGTCTTTCTCACCCAAGGTTCAACTGCAACTTTTTTACGATTCGGACTACTGAACAAGTCTGCAGGAGTTTGCAGAGAAAATGTGCTAGAGAAAGACTAAATCATCATGGGGAAAAAACTGTGAGAAGAAAGTATGAGAGGAGTTCACTTCCATATGTTATGTCCCTTCCAGTAAAGGAGGGTAGGAGTGTGTGTGGAAGGGGCCTTTTTTCCTAAGCACATCCAAACAGAATACTCCTTCCCCCGCATAATTCGATGAGCAATTTTTTATCTGGCAGTAGTGCCAGTTTGACCACCCCACTGCTGCTTGTTTCCACCTCCTTGCCTGTGCCAGCACATTGTCTATGAGACGAGACTGAGTGATAAAAATCAAATTTGGAATTGCTGCAAAAACCCAGAAAGAAAGAAAAAAGGTTACATTTAAAGCAGATCAGCTCTGGTGTCAGGTTCGTTTCATGGCTGCAGTTGCTGCACTGGCACAACAGAAAGGGTACAGCTGAAGTGGAAATTGCCAGGTAGCATTAGTTTCTGCGGTATTTCAAGGATTATACAAGGACAAGATTACATTATCCTGGCCACAGCAGATAGAGTTCAATAGCTACCATTCTCAGTTTCCTCAGAGCAACTTGTCTTAGGCTGTGCCAGACATCATTAATCCCCCAATTTGGGATTTTGAACATTCAAATGTGCAGTGGAGAGAACAATGATTTCAGTTAACACACATGGATTCCATTATCCAGACGATTAAACTGGCAGAAGCGAGGTGACAATATCCCCATGATCTGGACCTGTGCCTGCTGGGCAAGAACGTTGCCCAGGGGGCTGCGTGCAGGGCCTGGTAAAGGCCCAGGCTTTGCTACCAGTGACACTCACATCCAAAGACTGTAATTAAAGACAAAGGCAGGTAATTGAAGTTGTACCTGTTAGAAGTTAGGTTTGGCTACAGGGGCACACTGAAGTAAAAGGGAAGTAATAAGTGAAAAAGGGCAGGCACGAACTTCACGGGCTCACTCTAACACCAACACAACTCTTAGACTACAGATATTGTGTCTTAACTGCTAGTATTAGAGTTTATGACATTTGGGGGAGCCCCTTCCTAAAGGCAAAGACTAGAAACACATCCCATTGCTAAGCACAATTGAGGAATGTTTTAGTATTTAACAAACAGGCGGTCTTCCAATCCCATAATCTAAAAACAAACAAACAAAAATGCTCTGCTCACGACGGCAGTGACACACACGTAGGGCCAACTGGGCCAACTTTGGCATGCTAGAGCCAAAGAGCTTTTCTTACAGCTACAAAAGTAGCTTACTTTCTCAGGTGAAAATTGGCACCATCCTCCCACACGTGAACTACTGAGGTACACCTTTGGGTTCTGAAACTTTGTGCCATTTTCATTTAATTATTTCCCATTTAGAATTCTTATCTTTGCCATGAAGCATGGACACGTAACTTATGAAAGCCATAATATTACGATGTAAATTAAGCAATAATTTTAAAAAATCAAAATCTATATAATTAGTGCAGTATAACTTAGAAATATTTATTGCATTAAAACCTATCATATCTTATGCTTAATGCTTCTATTACGAACATACACACAGAGACACACGCTTCTAGAACTAAGAGACTAACCAGATACCCAAATGGTGGGAAGCACAATTTAGTTAATCATCTTCATTTCACTCCCACAAGCCAGCAGATCCCTGGTAGATCCACGCTGTTTGATTATTAACAGTTGAATGCTGAAGTATGTGCAATTTCACATACTCACACTGCTGACAGCAACGGGCTTACTAGGACAGCAGTATATTTTGTTGAAACCGATGTAGGTAAGCTCTGCTTTTGAAGTTTCATTATTTCAGAATACACTAAATCTTGTTTTGCATTTGTTATATCCCTGCTTCAGCAAGTGCTTCCCATCTCTGAAAATGAAGTGCCCTCAAAAATTTCCTAGGCTGTTTGTGTAAAGATCAAGTGTTGAAGTATGTCATGGCAGGAAAATATTTACATATGCGCTTTTTCAGAACACAGATGGCACTAAATATATGCCTAAAATGTTCTATTAAACCAAAACACAGAGTAGCCCAAATTTAAGATGCTCATTTATCTGCAGCTGCCAGAGTCTACACCTAAGCACCTAATAGGCATCAAATTAGTCCAGAGTTTCCAGCGCAATTTGTGAATGAAGGGAGCCCAGAGGAGAGAAGGGAAGAAGTAACCATTTAAAATGAACAGCAAATCTTCATAATTTTGCTTTTCTTTTAGAGCCTAGTGTGACACCCAAACCTACAACAAACTCTATTAAGAGGTATCATAATATCACATCATTAAGTAACCGAGGCAGATTTAAAATCATGCTACTAATATAAAAGGGTAGCTTGGCTAATGATTTTACAGCTTAAGCTAATATAGCTAAATATTAAGCTAAAAAGCTTAATACTTCCAAATAATTACCTCTATGTTTATGAAATTAAGTTGCTTCTTCACATAAATGACCGGAATACATTAATTGGTGCATTTATGTAACCACTCTGCATCCATGCTTTCCACTACTCCAAGATACTTTCTACAGAAGTCAGATGCAATTCCAGCACCACAATTCACCCTCTTCTAGATTATAGTTGCTTAATCACGGGAAGAGAGACAGTAAATTCAAAATACTAGGTCAGAAGTACCCAGCTCTGAAGAGGTCTGTGCAGCTAATTTCAGTTTTGACCACTTACTCATTTAACTCCTAGGTAGGAAAACTAAAAACATTCATCTAAAATTAGAAGGAAGAAAATGAAATATTCAACTTTAGTCAGCAATCAAGCAAGACAGCGCTTCGTTTAAATACAAATATAAAACAGAATTAATTTTTAAATGAATTTTTACTGGTTCAGCTATTAATGTATGCTCTTTGAAATTAAATAAAAATGTTCATAATAACCTATATACTTTTTTGAAGAGGTTTAACACCACAGTTCACATTTGTGTATCTGAAAAGAGAAAATGATGCACCTTTATTTATATATTTTATTCTATTAAAATATATTGAAATTCATCTTAAAAATACTGTGCTCAAGTATGCAGTGTTTAAACAACTAAAAACAGGAGTTAAGTGTTTAGAAAAGTACTTTTTTAAAAAATAACAAAGAAAATTTATACTAAGTTTAATTTATACTAATGTTCTACACCATTTTTCAGAACTAGTGTTAATGTATAGCTACGCAAGTAAGCACAGCCATAACAGTGCTGTGCTTTGACTTGCATCTTATTTTCTAGCACAAATCATGGGCAGTATGCAACCATTATTCAAGCACTATTATACTACGCACATAAAAAATTATAAAACTATACTGGTATCCTCACCACATTACTCAGCGATAAGAAATGTTGAGTATGCTAAAACCATACGTGACTTCTACTGCTTGCATCTCATTTTCTGCATAGTTTAAATGCAACATACTCAGGGTGATAAACACACTTTTCATTTCCTCCTCTTTATTAACAGATGTTCTTCCAGATGAAAGTCACAGTAACTTACTCCATGTGAGGTTTACCGAAATAATAATCAAAAAAAAAAGCTACCAATTTGAGTAGCAGGCATGTCCTTATGTAATCAGCGTTACCATTTTTCTTATCTCAAACGCTTGTATCTGTTACACAATATCTTGACTTTAATTCTCATATCCTTCTTTTTAAGAAAGGGCATTTGGACAGCGCTCTTCCCTTTGTAATTCAAAAAAGAGAAACAATGAAAATATACTGCAATTTAAGGTTTTAAGGTAGCATTAACTCTTCGATGGCTTCAATAGTTGTTCTCCACTGTTATAAAGTCTACCAAACTACTGCAGCCTTTTTATTCTGTCAAAAGTAGATGCCTTATAACCAAAATCAAATAGCAAACAGAAGGAGGAGACTACACAGAAGTTATTTAATGAGGACTTGGAAGAATTTTCACTTCATAAAAACAGTAAAACCTCTAATCCAGCTTATTTCTGATGACAATATCAAAGACATTGGTATCAAGCATAAAAATCAAAGCCATTCCTCCTCCCCTGTAGGAAAGCAGAATGAATTACCTCCTTTTGTCGTCCAACAAATCTAACTCTTCTATAATCCTTTTCATCATATACCTGAAATACAAAATAAGTTTCATTTCATTTAAAAAGCAATGACAGAAAAAAAGAACACGAAGACTTAGAGTGCTATCAAGACAAGATGTACCATCAAACGCACCTATTGCCTGTGGGATGGCATTAGCAAAATCACCTTTATGCAATTCTGTTTTGACAAGAAACAACAGAAACCTTATTCTTTATATAACATATTGTGCTCTAAGGATGAAGACTTTAGGCTGCTGAAAAGGGACAGCAGTGTCAACAAAAGTGATGAAAAGTTTTCTGTGATGAAATCTCTAGGTGAGAAGAAGCTCCTAATGCACACGCAGCTACAGCCAACAGAGTATTTTCTTCTGTTCATGGAATTAATATAGCTATATCAAGAAAAAATATATATGCACATATATATATATACACACACACACACTGCCCTTTACGGTAGACAGCTCAGTTGATCCAACCCCAACAAACAGAAACTGCAATGCAGGTAAAATGCAAGCATGAGAACTGCCACACAATCTAACAGACGCAGGAAACAGGAAGTAGAGAATCAGCCCTTTGAAGGGGTGTCCTCCTATCTGTCAACTTACCAGCTCTCGCAAAAGTTGCATTCAGGCATTTCGTAACTACTGGAGATGCTATTCTTAACAACTAATCTCTTTCTGAAATCATATATATCTTTTTTTCTTAGGCATTATTCAACAACAGTAACTTTCACAATATAAACAGGCTAAAGAGACACTACCTTTTGCTACAAAAAAATCTGCTTTCCAGAGGGTTGTGTGCATGTCAAGTTCTATCTAGACACTATACTTAGAAATTTGTGAATAAAAGCTTTCTAAATCTTCTAAAACCTTCTGAAAGCCTTCTCCGTCTTTCATGAACTTTATACCCATTTATCTCAAGACTCAACCATCATTTAAACTAAGCAGCTTTTCTGGAAAGATTCTCAATTCTAATACTATAAAGTTACAAAAAGTTAGAATCTACATTTAAGACAAAAGCAAACGCAGAGGTAGAAGCCATACACACGGGAGGTCATCGTTTGCTGAAGTCAGAAACGACACAGGGCGAAGTTTGCAAGGCGGGTAGTTTTTCGTAACGCACGTCAGCATAGCTGGAAAACGCATGTGAGATCTCGGTCAAAAAAAAAAAAAAAAAAAAAAAAAAACCACTTGTCCAAATAACACAATAAATGAGGACAAGAAGTTGCAAACGCTGCAGCTGAACGAAGTCCACCATTCAAAGCAGAAAAGGAGCGACCCTGTCAGCCCCCAGCTCGGGACATCCGAACGCCTTAACCAGGGACTAAGGGAAGCAGCTCGGTGCCGCCCGCGGCTCTCCGCAAGCACCAAGGGCCGGCGGCGGGAGCTC